TAGGAGTTATTAACAGAAAAGATTGTATCTAGTGAGAAATGAGCTTACCCCTGATGGGGTACCTAGCTGGCTTCTTAACCGAAACTACAAGAACTATTACAGTGGCCAAAGCAATATCAGACTTATTAGTGGTCCGGGTACAATACTCCCCAAGTAGCGAATTCGTGGATTGGATGGATTCTGAAGATCCTGTGGCACGAATCGCGGGAAGTACCAGGTATGGACGCGTTAATCAGGAGCGAGTACTGACTCGTCTGGTCGGCTTGGAGGTCTGTGTGAGTTCTGGTGCGCTGGGGCGTCACCCGCCTCTCCTTCCTCACCCACATTCTGGGAGCGTCTAATTTTCAGCAAAATTTATTATCTACGGGGGAAGGAATATAGTCATTTATTCACAGATTTCAACTGAATCTGATTTTAATAGAGCTTTCTAGTAAATTTAACTTGTATGCAGGAAGAGTTACGTTCACTAACGAGTTTAGCAGATTCGTCGACGCAATTTATGCAATTTAGTAGATTAGCTGACGCAATACTCCTCCAGTATTTCCGAGGGGTCTCTAGGAACATTTTCTTCGCAAAGTTAGTGATGTTAGTAATTGCCCGACATAACTAATCTGTTATGTCAAGGAGTTAGTAATGTAGTGTTGGAAATTTCCGACACAACCCCCTCTCCCCTTTTTTTACTTGTCCTGTGGTTGCTGGTGAATGTTGGGAACAGAGCTTTTGTGAAAGCTTCCCACGACATGTTAGTGAGCACGTCGGGAGTAGTGTTGACGCTGACCCCCCTTGTCTGACCCCACTACGCTCAGCGCTGACCCCTCCTTGTCTGACCCCACTACGCTCAGCGCTGACCCCTCCTTGTCTTAACCCACTACGCTCAGCGCTGACCCCTCCTTGTCTTAACCCACTACGCTCAGCGCTGACCCCTCCTTGTCTTAACCCACTACGCTCAGCGCTGACCCCTCCTTGTCTGACCCCACTACGCTCAGCCCTGACCCCTCCTTGTCTTAACCCACTACGCTCAGCGCTGACCCCTCCTTGTCTGACCCTACTACGCTCAGCCCTGACCCCTCCTTGTCTTAACCAACTACGGAGAGAGCAACCCTCCTTCAGGAGAAGGTAAGCATCACCTCGACCCTCAAGTGTGACCTACGTCTTCGCCTTCTTGCATACGAACATGGAGGGGGATGTGACCATTCTTATGTCATATATGTGGTATATGATTATAACGTGTATACAGGAATTTAAATAGGCACAATAATAATTAATTTTTCTGCCATTGCAGGCAAGGATTTTTATTTAGCTCATCGCGGGGGACAACTCCACCAGCTCAAGGTACGTTCCTGTTGCCTTTCGTTTCCGATGGATTTTTTTTCAGCAAAAATATTACCGGACACGAAGATATCGTAATATAATTATGGGTAAAAATCAAGTCTGTGCCTGTTTTGTGGGGTGCCCTGGTACCCTCCTGTAATGGTCCTTCGAGCACCAGGGCACACCACCTTCCCTTCATTGGTCCCGGGGGTGCTAAGTCCACATTTGTTTTGCCTTATCGATTCCACCGAGTATTTTTTAAGTTGTGATCATGTCCCTCCAGCTGTTGTTTTACTTCAGTGACGTGAACTTCAGTTTCATTTGTCTTCCCCTGCATGTTACTCCCTACAACTCTCGTACCAACCTGGTATTATTGGAGCGGGATGGGGGGGGGGAGTGCGAGGGAGCGTCTCCGTGCTTGAGCTGCATAATATAAAAGGTCTGACGTTCGTGATGTCCACTTTTTTTAATTTCAAAAGTTCTGATTTCGATGGTAGTCCCAATAATGCTGCAGTTATACGTGATGTGAGCACTTGGTGGTCAATGTTGGTACTCGTTCTGTAATGTAAGTGCAGTTTGTGTGAAAGTTTTCACCTGAGGATGCCTTCACGAGTGTTGATGTTGGGAGACGCGTCACAATGTAGCGTCAATGGTGTGACTGAAAGGCAAGAAGGATTGAGTGTTGTTTCTTAGACACACTCAAAACTCCTCTAATATTCCTGAGTGTATCAAGTAGTAACAGAACTCCAAGTATCTCATACCATTTGTTCTGAAATCATTTATTACAGAGCAATCACAGATATAGTGATGGAGAAAGTGTTCTAATTTCCATTCACGCCACTGTTTGGGTTTCGAACCGGGGACCCCAAGTGTGTGAGGCCGAAGCTCTCTCCACTGGGCTATGAGTAGTCTTAAAGAGGAAAGTCCACGGATCGACACCCACACAGTCTAGGTGAATGGAATGTTTATTTCCACGGAAGTGTGGATGATAATTTATTGTTCTAATTTGTTTATATCATAAATCGTTATCTCGTGCTATCTTCCGCTTGAGTGTCAGTGACTGCTCTTCTGCCATACCTAGGGGAAGGGGAAGGGAACTATCAGATCGGAAAGTGTCAGGCCATTAAGACTATATAGCACTTAGAAAGGGCCAGGATAAGGATTTGGGATGAGACGGAGGGAAGGAATGGTACCCAATCATTTTGTCTACCATACCTAACTTCCTGAAAAGTGTACGATAAAGACTGGATTATCTAGACCAAAACTGTGCAGAACATACATTGAAATAATAGAAACAGGCCTGTCTTTAGTGGACGCAAAATTAAAAAAAGAAAATGAAAACGGCCAACCAATAACATTAGAGAAAACAAATTCATAGTTTATATGTTAAGATTAATTAAAAACACTAATTGCAACTTAGATATACTTCATTGGTTCCAATATTTTGACTGTTCAAAGTAATTCATCGTTTCGGGCGATTATTTGGGGAGGGAAATGTAATTGGCGATTACTAGTGTATTAATATACTATCGGTGCAGTTCATTAATGTGGGGAAACTCCAGGCAGCTAATCTCTCCTTTTAAATTAACTTTAATAAGATAAAGTTATGTCTTATTTATTTTCCTTAGTAAGTAAGAATTAATTGAGTGGACTGTATATACTTGTAAACTGCCTGAAATCTTCTTACACACTAATGGGGGGGACAATTGGTAGCCTAAACCACTTTGTTATGGCTCCTTCTTAAACTACCAATTGTTTACCTTTTATAATTATAATATACCACATGTGGTGGTCTACTTATTAATATATCATACCACATATGGTGGTCTAATCTACTAGTAATAATTACTAATTATGACTACTAATACTGTTAAAAATGGCTTAGCTGTGCCAGTAGTGTGGGCCTGGTAAGGCGTGTAGGTGTATCCTCCAAATTGGGTGTGGCCCTGTGCCTCCTTGGGCCACGTAATGGCGGCTGGTGGGAATGACAAAGCTTGGCAAACAATAGTGAATGTGTATGAACCAACTGTCTGCTCAACTTCTTGCTGCTCCTCTCACAATTTACCTTATGGGATGCAAGGAATTAATCAAAGTTCCCTAAACATATCAATTACAGGTATGGCATGAAATGTGAGGGCTGTAAAATGGAGTACACGTACATTGTGGTATGTTTTATTCCTACGTCGTGACCGCCTCTACCCATTGAATCAAAATGTGCACAAAATGATATACAATACTTGGTAAGACGGATACGGTCGTTGTTGTGATGTTGATAGGCTGTGTTGCTGGTTGTTGACACGTAAATGGGGTGTCTAGTTGTTTCACCAGCTCTAGAGCCAAGTACAGCGTAGTGGCTGCTGTGTTTTGTTATTGTTCTGTCGCGGGAGCCTTGCTCTCAGTGGAGCCAACGCCCTCAACGCTGGTTCCTCACTCAAAGTAATTTTACATTAACAAGGGAACCTAGCTACAATTTGATGTAAATAATTATATTCAGTCTTATTGATTACTTTTTTGTTAAATCTAGATACTAAACTAGTCTATTAACAATGTTTCATAATGTAAATATACGATGACATCCATGACGTCACGGAGTCGATGACGTCACGGAGTCTCCCATTTTCCATCCTGAAGGGATTACAGACTAAGGGAGACTGTGTTATATGTGTGTGTGTGTTTGTGTGTGTCGGTTTCCCGACAATTAACGTAATATTTATATTTAGTATTGTAACCAACTGGTTATATGGAGGACGGGTTGAATTAATTTTTTTTTGCACATATTCACTCAACTTCCCCCACAATTTCTTCACTCGGATAAAATTACTTTCACCCTTTCCACATTAACCACTAAGTTACTGTTGGACTCATCTCACTTTCTCAGCTTCATGTTTACATACGTTATAAACTCTTTTCTCCTATACACCCTTCTTCGTAACCTTTGTTCTTCTACTCACTGATATGAATATTACTTTAAATTCATTAATAACACTCACTTATTATCTCTCACACAAACCACACTCATATTCTTAGCTCATTCACACCCTCACACTCATATTCTTAGCTAATACTCACCTCACATTCATATTCTTAGCTCATTTACACCCTCACACTCATTACTCGAATCCACTACACACACGAAACAATCACTCCATTTTTCTTCCTTTTACCTCATAATTTTTTCATCAATATCTTTCTCAAAACCCTCAAACTACTAGCCAGATTTCTGTTATTTTTCTGACTGTTCATTCAGCAATAGATCTCATTCACATTACTCTTCACGAGTCCCTGTTCAAACCTCCCTCACTCAACTTTATCACAAATTTGTACCCAGGAAACATTCCCTTCTCGTTAACCACCCACCCTTCCATTGTTCGATGCAAAGGAAATTGATTAGTAAAGTGATTAGACTTAAATTTAATATTTTTGAATGGCTAGAAATATATGAATTGTATTTACGTTTTAAGGATATATATCCTTCGGGTATTTTTCCCGTTTAGGGAGTATATTTTCCTGAAGAGCATTATTGAGCAGTAGATTTTCCTGAGGAGCATTTTGAGCAGAGAGTCACTTTGTGTATTCTATCTACCATTCTGATGGTCCTATTAATCCGTTTGTACCATAAAATGTTAATGGTAATGACAGTTATTATCAATGTTCATTGAACATTAACGGAATCATGTGGAATGACATACTGACCGAGTGTTGAAGGGAGAGCGTGAGGTCATTCTGGAAGAACTGGTTCACCAGTCCTCCACTCACCATCCACCCAATGATCTGGTCGAATCTTCTCTTCAGAGGAGAGTGGCGCTGTAAAGCCATGGCCACGTTGAACGGGGTGAAGCACTCCTGTACCACCAAGTACATAAACTTTAGCTCATGAATTCATGGATGTCCTCGACTTCTGGGTGTACATGGAAGTCCTAAGACTACTGGGTGTACATTGATGTTCTCGACTACTGGGTGTACATGGAAGTCCTAAGACTACTGGGTGTACATTGATGTTCTCGACTACTGGGTGTATTAATCATCTTATTAGAGGGGGAAGAATCTGCATGGTTAAGGGGTTTATAGAGATTCAGATTGAGATAAAGATTCGACATAATACTCAAGCATGAAAGGAAAGGTAACGCCTGTCAAAGGTTTGTTTATAACGGTGCGGCGACCTCAGCTTGTCCTACTGGTAATGTCCCAATGGAGGAGCAACAAGTTTGTCCTATTATGATTTGGATTTGATGAATTACTGATACTTAACAGAATTAGCTAAGAGAGCTTATAGGACCTAACTCTAGGACCTAACTATCGTCATTCCCACTTCCGTTTGGCTAATCCATATAGTCTTTGTTTCTTATCACGTCTTATGCCAAGTATTTAGATGTAGGTAGCCTCTTTTATTTACCCTATTGGTTAAACTTATTCATTTCTTTACTTACCTCAGTAAATCAATCCCTAAACCAGTTTTTATTTAACGTATTCAACATCTGAAATATATTTGTAGCTTGCCTCAAAGTTTCCTAACTTCTATCAAATCGTAAACGAGTCTAACCGAAAAAGCAATTGAACCCTTATATGAATCTTGAACTTTTCGTACGAGACTTGAAAATTTTAATTTGGCTTCACGAGAAGTGAACTCAAATCTCGTTTGAATGTTTCGACAAATTAACATAAATTGCATTTTCCATAATATGTACTGGAGACTAGGTCTCCACCCTGGCCACTGTTGGCCAGCCTACCCTCCTCTCCACCCTGGCCACTGTTGGCCAGCCTACCCTCCTCTCCACCCTGGCCACTGTTGGCCAGCCTACCCTCCTCTCCACCCTGGCCACTGTTGGTCAACTCACCTTCATGATCCTCATCCTGGCTTGTCCTCGACTGGTAAACCTTGAGGCGATGACGTACTCATGGTAAGGCCGACTCATTAACATGACAGACTTGCCCTCCAACACCCGAGAGAAGATTGGTTCATCAGAGCTGTAGTTCTTGAATCTGTCTTTAATGCTCTGTGTGACAACATAAATTAAAGTGTCAAGTGAGAGAGCATTGTAAAATATTTTAATATGTGTATATCTCATTATATCCAAGTGGATTTGTGAATATTATATGGCGTGTACTGTTTAAGGGGGGGTCGTTCAGGGGAACTCATGTCTCAGAAGCTAAGTAAACGACTCCACGACACGTTAGTTCACGACTTCTTGGGCAGATTTTACATTTTTAAACTAATCCGTACGATACCTTAAATTAACCAATTTGGCATCTTAAACTAGCCCCCTTACGACACCTTAAACTAACCAAAGACATCTTAAACTAGCCTCAACGACACTCTAAACTAGTCAGAAATACACAAAAGTCTTGTACTGAATCCCAAGGCTTGGATAACTTACATGGTATTAACTGTTCCACCCAACACAAACAAGGAATACTGTGCTATATTCCTTACGTCACATCAGTAAAGTGAACTCTTAGTGAACTTGAATGACATAAAATGTTGCAAAGGATTAGGCATCAATTAGCTTGCAGTGACCTAGGATAAACAATACAATATTCAATACAATCCCAATAATGTGACATATCTAGAAGAAAATCATAGGAGCAGGACGGTGGTATTGAACCTGCGCGGGTCCTGGGTCACCACACACACAAAAAAAGAGGTGAGATCGTGGGGTATTAATAATAAATTTAACTTATTTGCTACATGATATGCTGGATAAAAGCCAGACTCACCTGCAGATTAGGGTCAGTAGGTGAGAAGGTTCCGACCACTGACACCTCTGTACCGGTGTCATGGAGGTCCTTGAGGGTCTCTATGCCTGTGGGAGCCTTGGCCACCAGCAGGAAGGCGGTGAGGTTGGAGGAGTAGGCTATAGTGAGGATCATGGTGTAGAGCCAGAGGAATAGGACATACACCCTGGTGGCGTCGGTCTGGGGCTCTGTCCGCTGGTCTCTGGCGCAGTGCATGGCCAGGGTGTAGAATGTGTCGAAGCCCAGAGACTGCAGTCGCTTCTCCTCCGCCCCGCTGTTGGTGGCGACAGCGGTTAATGGTGCTCCAGACGGTTACTGTAAGTGTCTGCAGTGACAGGTTAAAGTAGAGTATTTGTTAGAGCCAGGAGAGAGTAGAGCTTATGTTAGAGCCAGGAGAGAAGAGCTTAGAGCCAGGAGAGAGTAGAGCGTATGTTAGAGCCAGGAGAGAAGAGCTTAGAGCCAGTAGAGAGTAGAGCGTATGTTAGAGCCTAGAGAGAAGAGCTTAGAGCCAGAGCCTAGAGAGAAGAGCTTAGAGCCAGGAGAGAGTAGAGCGTATGCTAGAGCCAAGAGAAGAGCTTAGAGCCTAGAGTGAAGAGCTTAGAGCCAGGAGAGAAGCGCTTAGAGCCAGGAGAGAAGAGCATAGAGCTTAATAAGACTAAAGGTTTATTAGAACCAGAAAATAAATCATTTTAAAGTCCAAAGAGTGTAGGATTTTTTATAGATCCAGATGCCTATGGTATGTAAGCCAGTAGAATGACCATTTATCCAATATAAACACTGTTCTCAACATGTCTCGACTCCAAAACATTATAAATCTGTTCTCGATCTTTAACAATGCATCACTTTACGTTATCGCAGAGAAACAAATTCGGAATGATAGCCAATATATTGTGTGGAACACTTGGGCACTGACCAGTGAGCACTGCACCGCGCTAGTATGTAGAGAATAGGACCGGAGACCAGGAGACCAAAGAGGATGGCGGTCCAGGTTTGGCCCTGGAAGGGAAAGGCGAGTGCCTGCCACCGGGGAATAGGTGGCTCCGTTCGAGCCAGAAAGCAACTCAGCTGGTGAGAGACAACATAAGTACAGTTAGTGAGGCAGATCAGTCTCATATCTTGGCTCTTATTCTGTCCTCATACCCTCAGTTCATTCTGTCTATATATTCCAGCTTTTAGTCTGAGCTCATGCTCTCAACTCCTTTTCTCTTTATATCCTAGCTTTGATTATATCATCATATCCCAGCTCGTAATCTGTTGTGATATCCTTTCCAAGTATTTATGTACGATGTATCTTGTTCTCAAGCCAGCTAGTTAAGGACACACACAGATATCGCCGCCTTTGTCACAGCGTTTGTGAGGCATGTGTTTCCTCTGAAGAATGTAATCAAAATAAGGTTGTGTGTCAAGTGAAGGGATATATATTCTTCCGTGCCCATTCCATGTACTCCCATCACACACACTCCCATCCCACGCATTCCCTGCTATGGACTTGGCTTAGGCTTTAGCCATAACATTATCATAATAGCTTGTGTGAAATTATTATATTTCCATTGGCATACGTCATTGATTATAAGAGAGTTGTTTCCCAAACTACTATGTTGCTAGAATAAATCTTATGTGCAATATATTTGCATATCAAAGTAGGCCTCGGTAGATATAGAGTTAATGGGAGCATTATGAAGTATCAACTCTAATTTCTAATTAGTATTGTCGTGTAGAAAAAGAAACCTCGAGGGGATTTTTGAGTAGCATTATTAATTTGTAAAATCATTTATACACAGGTAATAAAAGAGAGGATTTTGAGTAATGAATTGGACAGGCCTTTGTCACCCCAGTCAGCCATTGTGGAGCGAATTAGTGCTATCTCACTGAGCATCCCAACAGTGAAACATATTCATCTGGACTTTTAATAGTATTGAGCCTGTATTGAAAAAGAATTGTAACGTGTTGTGAGAATGTTTAAGTGTAGGTTATTCTTCATGAAGTATAGGATTGTGTTTGTGACTACCTAGTGGAGCTAATTTACAGTGTATTTAAAGAGACATCTTGTTTGTGGGTAACTGATGGATAGTGTAAACGTAGTAACTATTATAAGAGATAATGACCAAACCACACATCAAAAGATGAACAAACGACGATGTTTCGGTCCGTCCTGGACCATTATCAAATCATATGTGATAAGTATTATCATACGACTTAACAATGGTCGAGGAAGGACCGAAACGTCGTCGTTTCTCTATCTTCTGATGTAGGATTTGGTCATCATATCTTCAGTCACGTTATTGTGACTCATCGTCTGCATATTATGAGAGAGCGACACTGCTACTTGACTCCCACAAGAGTGCAAGTCAGTGGCTATGCAGGATTCATAAGGACTGAGGCATACTTCACCTTGTTAGTACAACACTTTAAATAGTATATAGTTCTTGCTGTTGGTGTACTGCTGATGAGTAGCAAATTAAGAAATGCCCTCTAGTTAACGTATAAAGTATGAAGTATTGTTTCCCATATATTTATTTCGTGTTTAATGTACTGGTGTGCTGCCTCATAATACAGACCAAAGATATTTCTGGGATAACAGATTTTCGTAATTACTGGAAAACTGATTATATTTCATTTGTCTTAACACAGTCATTCCTGTATACTGGAATTGGTATCTTGCTGACTTCTTTTAAAGGAAGAAGCAATCAAGCTTTGTCATGTATATTATCATGCTTTATGTATGTTTTTAACTTTTGCCAATAGTCTCATTGAGTTTCTACCTCCTGAGACATCAAACTAGACATAGATACATTGATTTGACAGCAGTATACTAGACTGGGGCGTGGAACTGTAGGAAGGTAATTAAAACTGTATATGTATTAATCCGTTACACCCTATTCCCATGAACACCCTTCCTCTGCAGTCCCATCCCATATACTCCCATTCCATGTACGCCCATCCCACACACACACACACACACACTCCCACCACCAGGTACTCCTATCCCACACACTCCCATCAACGCAATAAACATCCCACGTACTCCTGCCCCCACACATACTCCCACTCTACCCCCTACGCACTCCCACCCCACGCACCCTTATCACTCCAATCCTTCACATTTCCATAACACACATATCCATCAAACTCCCACACAGCGAGCTTCCAAAACACGTTTTAAAGTGCCAGAAACTTTCCAGTAAATCCCTCCCACACACTCCCATCCCACACACATAAGTTGATCAAGAAATTATTATTATTTTAGTTAGAAAAATACAACGAAAGTTGGCTTGTGTAGGACTTGCCTCATTGTCATAGGGGAGAGTGTAGTCGAGGATATCAACACGGACGATGGTGACGTAGAGGTCCACTACGCCCAAGTCCACCTCGTTTCTTGCAAGTAACCCCAGAAATCCTGAGTAAGTCCCGTTTTCTTCATCACTGCCCCAGTATTCGCCTGGAAAAGGAAACTACTAACATTGAAATCAGGCCCTCCTCCCCTCCTCTCTCTCTCTCTCTCTCTCTCTCTCTCTCTCTCTCTCTCTCTCTCTCTCTCTCTCTCTCTCTCTCTCTCTCTCTCTCTCTCTCTCTCTCTCTCTCTCTCTATATATATATATATATATATATATATATATATATATATATATATATATATATATATATATATATATATATATATATATATATATATATAAAGTTATGCTACTGAGCAATTTTTCTTCAATAGTGTCTCATATAATTAATCATTTTCCCTTAATTGGCGTTAGATTAATTAGCAGTTTTCTAACAATAGACATAAAGCTATTTTAATTTTAGACGGCAAAATAATTATATATTTTACCTTTAGTGGACGTTAAGCTAATTATAAATTTTGTTGCAACACACGTTATCTAACATGAAATTTTCCTACTATAGAGATTACGATAACCTGAAATTTTCCTGCAGAAGATGTTTAGCTGATAGAAATAAATGTTAAGCTAATTAAAGGCGAATAATAAAAAGTTTTAAATGCATCAGCATAATAAAGTAATGGATCGAAATTGAATGTCTTCATATTTATTGAATGACTCGGGTAAATAAATAGAAATAGATGGATTTATAGAACAAATGATTAAGTTCAGTAATAGACGTAAGATACCTGAATTGTTTCAAGCGTAGGTCATATATATATATATATATATATATATATATATATATATATATATATATATATATATATATATATATATATATATATATATATATATATATATATATATATATATATATATATATATATATATATATATATATATATATATATATATATATATATATATATATATATATATATATGATCGAGTATAATGTGGGTATCAATACCAACTGCCTAATGTTATATCATATAGGCCTTCATCAGTTTTTTGTATTCATATATTCTTAACTGCGTAGCTCCTTTCAATTACATCTCAAAATGTTGTATATCTCTCATTTGCAAATTTAATTTTTTTTGTAATTTGTAATTTTCAAACTATATTCTACCAAAATATAAACATCTGAAGAAAAAAATTATTTAGCTTGAGTAATTCAAATGTTTTCGAATTGTATGTTAAGCAATAAATAATATATATGTCGATAAGGTTTCTTGCACAGGCTTGTTAGGCATATAAATATTATTTATAATTAGATAATCCCTAATTATAATGATAATCACTAATGATAATCACTAATTAGGACGGAAAGCTTGGCGATTTCTCTTGATAATTCTCTCCCCTCCCAGAAGTTGTTGTTGTTATAGATTCATCTACTCGGAACAAGTTCCAAGTAGCACGGGCTATGGTGAGTCCGTAACTTACCTGGCACAGGAGGTGGGCAAGTAGCACGGGCTATGGTGAGTCCGTAACTTACCTGGCACAGGAGCTGGGCAAGTAGCACGGGCTATGGTGAGCCCGTAACTTACCTGGCACAGGAGCTGGGCAAGTAGCACGGGCTATGGTGAGCCCGTAACTTACCTGGCACAGGAGCTGGGCAAGTAGCACGGGCTATGGTGAGCCCGTAACTTACCTGGCACAAGAGCGGGGCAAGTAGCACGGGCTATGTTTAGCCTCGTGGACGGGAGATGTCTCCCTCCCCCCCTAGAAACCAGGAAGTCAATATGAGCACCTGCTGGTGGTTCCTTGAACTGTGTAGTGAAGTTGATCACCTGACTGAGGATGTTCACTACTCCCATGTCTCTCCCGTACCGGGAAACCACTGTACCGTCCCTGGCCCGTTCATAGAACACGAACGGCTTCCATTCAAACGTACCCACCTGTGAGGGTAAGACCGGTAGTATCAGGCACGCCAGATTCAGTGATTCTGTGGGAGGGAATGGAGGAGAGTGTGTGGGAGAACAAGGGAGGGGCGTGTGGGAGTGGAAATGTAGGGGGGTGATGAGATAGGATCATTATTTTTAGTAGGAAATTGATTTGTCGTCAACATCATGATATAAAGATAGTGATGCTGTGTTACCTTGAGCACGGCTCCTCTAAGATCCGTGAATTTGTCGGGAAAAATGACTACCTGGGAGGTAAATCTGTTTTTCCGCCAGCTGGTGACACGCTTCACTCCTTCCCCGAAGTACAGCTGGTTGATGTAGAGGCTCCACTCTCCCTCCAAGCCTGTCTGGGACGGGAAACGTATTTACGAGTCGGTGGCGTACTCAACCCTTCAAGCCGCTCTTACCCGCCTTACCTTACCTCTTACCTGTACCCGCTCAAGCCGCTCATTGGTACAACGTCTCACTCGGATGAGGAATTGAACAGATATGATATTTGCAGAATACATCCAATTGTTATGCTTCTCCAAGCTGCGGATGATATTAAAAACTCATTCGTCAATTTGGACGTTCTGTGTTTCCACAAATTGGAATTTGCTCTAAATTTTAAGTAATATTATATACTTTTTATTTTTTTATACCATGGACGTGGCCAGACATTTGCAATGCTAACCAGCTTATATACATTTTCTTCTCTCCTCCCTGGACAGGGTTAGAGATCTGTTTAACATATAATGCAGTGATTTATTGTACAGGTAACTACATATACTAATGAAGGCCTTTAGTTAGTTATACATTAGAAAACCTTTGTACTTCAGCCTCTCTTGGACGTTATTTGTATTGTAGTTCGTAGGTAATACATTTAAAACATGTAACTCAAAACGAAAGAAAAAGAGAGACGATGGTTCAAAGAAAGCTGGAACTTATACAATTTAGCCAATCCTAATCAATAAGGGGCAAATGCCTGTTAATCCTGCCGCAAAACTCCCTGTTTGTGATTGAAAAACTGTTTATACACGACTCACAACTGATGACTTTCGAATATTTCTTTAACAGGATTAAGGGGCATTTGCCGTTTGTTGATAAGGTCGGACTGAAGAACTAGCCTACTTAACCTTCCTAATTATTCAACTAATTTTAACATATTATAAATTTATGTTTGTGATAATATCATGTGATAATACTGAATGTTAAAATTATCGAAAGTGTTTGGGGGTTCGGCTACAGTTTGGACAAGCATAGAATTAGGATTTTTTGTAACGCTTCACCCACATACTACCAGTGCAAACTATAACCAACTGAACCAAAGCTCTGTTGGTAATTGCTAGTTGGTTAGGTTATCCGTATGATTTAAAAGATCCATTAGTAGGTATAACCATTATATCATTCTTAAGTTCCCCTATCGTAAAAATTCCATAGGCTTAGTGAGACATGATTCCCTGGAAACACAAACCGTAACTGTGTCTATTTTCCGCTTGTTACAACTTGTAATAAAGTTGTTACGTCTTGGCTTAACGTGTTTTTGACGTATTAAAACGTTGTTACAACTTGCTATATTGGTTCTTATAACTGGTTAGGAGGTGTTAAAATTTGTTCGAACGTTGTACCAACGTCGTAGTTTCGGTGTGTGTTTGGCGGGTTGTCTGCAACCAAAAATGCTAGTTGCAGAAATGAGGAGTATAAACATTCTTACTCACCTGTGTGGCCCCTGCAATGTATTCCGTCTTCTTTCCCTTTTTAGATGAAGCCAGAGACTCTAGATAGCCTTGTGAGGAAGTCACAAACAGGTACCTAAGGGGTTGAAATACATTTAATTCATATATATTCCATCTCAGATGAAGACCCACATTACTCATGCATAGTTCACATTCAGCGAACACTCATTTTCCTCATGAATATCTCATATTAAGTGATTAATCACTTTAATAACGAATATTTCCAATTAAGCGATTACTCACTTTCCTCAAGAACACCACACACCAAGAAAGTACTCACTTGCAATTGCCCAAGATCTTGTGCAACATACTAAATATTATACTTTCAGTTACATTAATAAGCCATACGTCACACAGCAAACAGCTGCGTCTAACAGCCAGGCTGACCAGAGCACCAACCAACCAGGAAGCCTGATCAGATCCCGGCCCCACGGTAACCCCCCAGACGCAATAGTCCGATCCCTTTGTCCTGCTCCTAAAATGTTCTCAAAAAGAGTTGAGTGAGGCGGGGAAGCCAGCCTCACCTGCCGTGATAGTCCCAGAGGTCAGGGAACGTGTTCACGAATGTTAGGAGCGGCTCCTGGTCGTGGGTGAGGAAGATGTAGCCTCCACACTCCGGAGAAACCCACGCTATCTTCAGCAGGTCGTCCGTTCTTCTCACTCGTACTACCTGCGTGAATCGGATTACACAGGGTTCAAAGATAACACCTGAATGATAGCACCGCTTACATCATATTCACCTCTCACCCCTTACGGGAACCACCTACACTATGTACCACTTGCTCGTATGGCTAAAAACCCTATTTCATAAATACTCACCTGTAAAATATCAAATAACACCCATGAAATACAGAAAAATATACAAAAGTTGATATAATACAAATGTTGCTGTACTTTTGAGGTACAAAATATAACACAGCTGTTGGGTGGGTGGACTCGGCTGTTTTGCATATTACACACAGAGCTCTTTTTTTTCAATGTCTGAATAAATACTACATCGAGTCCCCTCTTGTGAAGCTTCACAACAAAGACTGAACGAGCCACAACTCAAAGCAATATTTTTGAAAAAGGATTTTTTTGGGGGGTCTGCATTGTCAAGAATTTCTTAAATAATAACTGAATTATTGGATTTATAATATATTAATGCAAAACTTAGTTTTTAGTCGTCACTATAATCAAACGCTATTTTTTTATGAATAAAAATATTATATATGTATATATATATATATATATATATATATATATATATATATATATATATATATATATATATATATATATATATATATATATATAGGAGAAAAGCATATATACATATATGCGTATGTGTGGTTTCCTCCGATATATATATAAATATATATATATATATATATATATATATATATATATATATATATATATATATATATATATATATATATATATATATATATATATATATATATATATAATGTTCATTTTTTGTATAAAAAAGGATATGGGGTGTATAGGAGAAAAGCACACAGAAACTGTATTGGAGGGGCGACCTACATTCACTCCAATGCGTTATGTGTGGTTTCCTCCGAGGCTGTGGGTCCCCCTTCTTCCAGCCAGAGGTGGTACCCCCTTCCCTATCATATATATATATATATATATATATATATATATATATATATATATATATATATATATATATATATATATATATATATATATATAATCTATGTATGGTTATTCTCTTATCTGTACATGGTTACAAATAGGATCATAAGCAAACAACTTTACAGGCTCACCATAGCCCGTGCTACTTGGACCTTTTGTTTCGGGTAACTGAATCTAAAACAACAACATCAAACAACTTATCAAACAATTGGCTATGATGACTGTAGCAGGAGCCAAACTACAGTCAACAACATTAATTTTTAAACGAATCAACACCACATATTAGAGTATTGTGCCCACCAAATCCATTAAGTATTATGAGCAGAAACACAAATGTTCTCAAAACACAAATATGAGCACCAACACTGTATATTTTGAGCAGCAACACTATTGAGTATTGAGCAGCAACACTACTGAGTATTGTGTGGAGCCACGCAGCTAAGAGCGTGTTAATGGTAAGCCATTAGATTTAATGGATTATACAGCAGCATTTCAATTAAGTGTACAAGTTAGACTGGTTAATTATTGAGTCTTGTGCCACACCACAACATTCGAACAAATAACACTGGACACGAAACTAAACTTAAACAGGACAGGGTTCGAAACTAAATTAAACCACACAGCCGTGTGGTATGTGGTGCATTCAACCAATCATGTGGTGTATGGTTTATTCACCCAGTACTTTGGGTGAATAAATCAGACCGACACATGACTGGTTGACCTCAACCAGTCAGACAACCGACCACCAGACCGACAACCAGAGCGCAACTCCATAGTCTCCTGAGACTGATGGATGCCTACTACTACTTTGGAGAATGCTGCTTTCAACCAATTTTGTGGAGTATGGTGCAGTCAACCAGTCTTATAGCACTTAATACATTCATCCAGTTTTGTTGCGAATGGTGTTGAACCAAATCTTGTGAAACATAGTACAGTCAACCACTACTGCGGAGCATTGATTATTCAACCATACATTTGGCCCATAGTGCAACCATACAATCCGATAGAGAATTGTGCATTCAACCTGTCGTGTACAACATGCAACCTTTTACCAGGATTGTTTTGCATAATTATTTATTCAGTATCTCATAATACAGTGAAAGAAAACCCCTATTTACTGTTTAATTATTTGGAGCAAGTATTTGATGGAAACCATAAGGCTAATTGGACTCCTAACTTAGTTACTTAGTTACTTAGACTCGTAACTTGTCGGTCATACTCTGAATATAACAGAAGCATGCAATCCTGATATCGATGGTGGCTGTCAATCATGTCTGAAGCATTCAATTTCGATGGCATTAACAGCCGTCAATCATGAAAGCCACTTACCTGTCGTGTATTGGGCAGCTGCATGAACAGGTCCTCCACGACAGTTAACTGATCATAGACTGGATCATAAGCCACCACCAGATGGCACCTTTGCATCTCTTCCGAGACGACGGTTCTCAGCATCTGGCCGAGTGACACAGCCTCTCGTAAGGCAGTCAACTGTCGTCTTACAACTCCAGGAAGATGTGATAACGCTTCGTTGTTCTTCCTGTTCTCGAGAACTATGGCGGGTGTGTTGATCAGCGTAGCTGATCGGCCGTCGTGTATAAATTCTCTGTGTTCTAGGGATTCAGAATCATGGGGCTTGCGTATGGGGGCTGTCCTATAATACAGCTTATGATGGCAGGTTACTCCTAGTGTCTGCCGCTGCTTAGTAAGACCCGATGGTGAGGTCTGTGGCTTCCTCAGGCAGAGGACTGGCTTAATCTCCTCCAAGGTATTGTTACACGTAATGTTATGATTAATGTCTATACCTTGTGACGGAAATGTTGACACTTTCAGTAAGTTTGAAAGTGATGAAATCCAAATTATTAAATGCAAAAATGTCTTCGCAACAGTCATTTTCTTGACAATCTGAAAATTAATAATGCAGTCATGAAGCTTATGAGTTAACAAGTGTATCAAAATGATATAGAATCAATCCTATTGAAATGTTGCAGGATTATGAGGTAGAGATTCAGGGGATTGACTAATACATATAAACATTAAGTAAGCTAAACAGAAATGGCAAGAGATATTCATACGCAAGTCAACATACACAAAGCATGAGGAATGTATTATATCTAGTTGAAGTTTCGAATGTACAACAGACTATTGAGCTCAACATTCCTTAAAGATTAAGGAGAATGTCTGAATCAGATAACTGATTTAGACATTTAGCATGTCTGAATCAGATAACTGATTCAGACATTTAGCATGTCTGAATCAGACAACTGTTTCAGACATGCTTCCAAGGGCTGAAGTCTTAATTTCCAAGCTTGAACATGATCTAATCATGGTCCAGGCGTTCTTTCAGGGATCAACGTTCCCGCGGCCCGGTCTCTGACCAGACATCACTAATATTCCAGGCTAGTTTCCAAAGTTCAAATGCTTATCCCTTGTTGGTAGCTCTTGAAGCTGGTGGTAAAGTAGTTCTTGTAACTTGGTATTAGATATTTGTGTATATTGGATGTTGGGTAGTTGCTGAAAATAGTGGTTAGATTGATGTTGAAGATTGTGGTTAGGTAGTTGTTGAAGCTTGCAGTTGTAGACGCTATTGGTGAGGTAGTTGCTGAAGCTGAAAATTATGTAGCTTTTGAAGCTTACATGTAGTTATAGATGTAGTTTGTTAGGTACTTGTTGAAGCTATTAGTTATATTGCTCTTGAAGCTTGGTATTATGTAGTTGTGTAAGCTGGTAGTTTGGCTGAATCTGGTAGTTATGCAATTACTTCAACAAGCGTTTGGGTAGTTGTTGAAATTGGTAGTTTATGAACAGAGATACTTGAGAATTACCGAAATAGGGAACCTCTGCCTTTCTCATCAGCATTTTGTAAGTCACAGTATCAAACATTTTGTTAAAGTCAAAGTGTTCAACTTCTCAAGCCTTTCTATTGTCATCTGGTTGAATTATACTCTAACAGAATGAGATCAAATTCGCTAAACATTTTCTATCCATCAACCTTAAGTAAAACCATTTTGTGACTCTTTAATTAATCAACACTTTTCAAGATTAAGACGAATGGTTTTTGCGATTATTGACTCAAGCAACTTTCTCCAGAACAGGACTATCAATTATTATGAAAGCTGAAGAAGATTCAATAAAGATTCTACCACAACTGTAGACACAGTAGGTAGCCATGGGTGAGCAACTGTTCTAGACACCTGTTACCATGTCTAGACTCGTGTGGCCACCGATTCCCACTTACAGAACAGCTGTGTTGACAGCGACGGTCCACGGCAGTAAGTGACAACTGTGTCTGGCCGCAAGCTGCCTTTATGATGCTGCTTCCTATTGAGAATTCTCTTGAGAGCTCTTTTCAATGTTTGATATGATTGTTCTGTTGGTGGTTCGCCCTTATAAAGTTTATTCCGAACACTGGTTGGGCGAGGTTTCTGTTTGCATGCACAAACACACATAGACACACGGAGACACACACAAACCTACACACACACACACGACATTTCACGACTTTTGTTAGGCCAAAGCTAGAATATGCAGCGGTTGTGTGGTGCCTATATCTTAAGAAGCACATCAACAAACTGGAAAAGGTGCAAAGACATGCTACTAAGTGGCTCCCAGAACTGAAGGGCAAGAGCTACAAGGAGAGGTTAGTGGCATTAAACATGCCAAAATATTAGAAGACAGGAGAAAAAGAGGTGATTTGATCTCTACGTACAAAATAGTAACAGGAATTGATAAAATTGATAGGGAAGATTTCCTGAGACCTGGAACTTTAAGAACAAGAGGTCATAGATTTAAACTAACTAAACAAAGATGCCGAAGAAATATAAGAAAATTCACTTTCACAAACAGAGTGGTAGACGGTTGGAACAAGTTAGGTGAGAAGGTGGTGGAGGCCAAGACCGTCAGTAGTTTCAAAGCGTTATATGACAAAGAGTGCTGGGAAGACGGGACACCACTAGCGTAGCTCTCATCCTGTAACTACACTTACGTAATTACACTTAGGTAATTACACACACACACTCCATGACGAGGTGGCCGAGTGGTTAAGGCGTTGGACTGCTAATCCAATAGGGTCTCCCTGCGTGGGTTCGAATCTCATCCCCGTCGTAAAAATCTGCAATTTTAAAAGGGGTCTGGATGGGTCAGAAGTCTCAAAGTGTTATACGGTAAAGAGTACCGGGAAGACGGAACACCACGAGCGCAGGTCTCATCCTGGAACTACACGTAGGTAACAACAATTAGGAAATTACACACACACACACACACACACACACACACACACACACACACACACACACACACACACACACACACACACACACACACACACACATACTCTCTCACACATATACATTCACAAGGTACTGCACATGGTACTGCATGGTACCTTGTGAATGTTTATGTTCACATGGTACCATGAATGTTTATGTACCATACCTGCATGGTACACACTCACACTTGTTAGGGTTATAAGTGTAGAAGAGCCTCAGCAACACAATTGAGGTGCTTTACTGACATTCATAAAACTATTCAGTGTTTATCGTCTCCATACATGAGACCTCGTACTAAAATGTGTTCATTATAAACAATTAGTATTTGCTCACTTTGTCAATGCCGCTGCGAATCGCGCAAGTTGTGCTCAAGTTGTTCCTTGACCTTCTTGCAAGAATAGGGACTATTGTTGTAGCAAATCTTTCGACTTTCTAAGGTTCAAGATTTGTGCTTTTTTTCAGAAGGAGAATTAACATTGTGGTTGTATGTTCTAGTACTAGTCTTATATTGATTACCAGATGGGGAAACCGGAAATACTTGGGGTTTGCTATGGGGTTCGAATCCCATAAGGATGGGGAGGGGAGTAGGCCCACCCCATCTACAACAGTTTCAATACCTCCCCAACCTACCTACATGAGTCATCCTGCAAAGTTTAATGAACTTGTCGGAAGTGTCAGGTCTCCAATTTTGAACCGACATCCAAGTTTTGGAACCGAAAGATGACAAATTTATCAAATACTTTCCGAAAACAAGTACCGATCTTAAACTTGTAGAGGACATTAATATTAAAAAGAAGCAATGCTGCCGACCCCGACCAGCCTATGACAGTCACAAACCACTCACGTGTCATCTTAAATTTGAGTAAAACTAATCACAAAGCGTCTGATCTTAACACCCAAACATACAAACATCTAAACAAGGTCATTTAAAGCTACAAATATAGATATATACCTTTACCTGATTTACCAGAGGGCCACTAACCCTAGTGGCCTCGACGAGGACAGGAAGCCGTTGGCTTGTCGAAGGACTCTTCGTTCGCTTCGATGATCTTTTCCAGATAGATGTAACTTCTTTTCAGATGATAGATGTATCTCTGAATATTCTAATTCTAATCGCTTAATTATAATCACACGAATGTTCGTTAGTTTTGAGCACACAGCTGGAATTATCCTGACGGTGCCAGACAGCTGGGTGGACAGCGCTTCGGATTCGTAATCCTGAGGTTCCGGGTTCGATTCCCGGTGGAGGCGGAGACAAATAGACAAAATGTTTTTTTCACCCAGATGCCCCCCTGTTACCTAGCAGTAAATAGGTACCTGGGAGTTAGACAGCTGCTACGGGCTGCTTCTCGAGGGGAGAGGGGTGTAGCAAAAAGGAGACCAAGTCGAGGACCGGGCCGCGGGGACGCTAAGCCCCGAAATCATCTCAAGATAATCTCAAGATGATCCAGTATATATGAGTGTCTGGTATTGGGCCTCAGATTATGTCTGCTTCCAGAAATTTAAACTTTTTTGATAAACTTTTTCTTGTTCATAATATAGCACTTTGCAGCCTTTTCTAGTTTCATCAACGTGTAGTAACAGATGTGTACAGGTGACAAATGTGTAAAGGTGACAGATGTGTACAAGTGGCAGATGTGTACAAGAGACAGATGTGTATCTAGTCATTTTGATGTGGGACATTTTCATTTGGTACTATTTTTGTGTCTTAATATTCCAATCATCTTTATTATCTTAATACACACATAATTAGTGCCAGATGCTCCAGGCTAAGCTATAAGAGGTTTATCTTGAACAAATCTTAAAAAAGTTGTTCCATAGTGTTATTGTTAAAAAAATAAAATAATCTAAATTAAATGGGAAATTAGTGGCTGAGATTTCCAGGTGTTGCAATTAATAATAATAATTAAAAAATAATTGACAGTTTCTAAATTTCAATTAACTGCAAATAGGTTTGTCCAAAATTTGCATAAAAATAATAAATATATGTTATACTAATTTAAAAAAATACTGAAATTCCGATAAGAGTTCTAAGTAATTTATGTATAACAATGATATGTCTCGAAAGAAAAAGAAAATATATCAATGAATATATTAATACGATGTACAATTGAAAAACGGAAATTTACCATCGAATTCTGAAGTTTAAAGACTGTCTTGCTTCTCGCCGTGCTTAGCGCCTTATTTTGATAATTACTTAATTACAGTAAGTCCTTTGTACTGGTGAAGTTGGCGCATATGCAAATACGCTACGAATTTCAACAGAACATTTCAACAACGTGTGCAACAAACCTCTCTGGTGCACTACAAAATATATTGGACAACTCATTAAAAAACAGAATGCATTGCCACGACCAACTTTCCCGCTCTTCATGCTCTTCTGCGGGTAATTTAACCTGAGGAACTCTTGAGAACAAACGGGTAATTATAGGTCTTTCTGGCAATGTCTCCACTTTAACTCGGTATTTGCATAACTATCTCTTAACCTTTTGATGTCTTCTGTAAATAAAATATAGTGTTTACAGTCATGACAGTCAGGTTTACGTATATGACTGTCATCATGTTTCAGTCATGATATATAACAGCCCTGATGGCTGAGTGGATAACGCTCGGGATTCGTAGTCCTAAGGTTTCAGGTTTAATCCCCGGTGGAAGCGGAAACAAATGGGAAGAGTTTAGGTTCACCCTGATGCTCTTGTTCACCTAGCAGTATAACGGTATCTGGGAGTTAGACGGCTGCTACGGGCTGCTTCCTGGGGATGTGTAACAGAAAGGAGGCCTGGTCGAGGACTGGGCCGCGGGGACGCTAAGCACCGAAATCATCTCAAGATAACCTCAAGATAACAGGCCAAGGTATGTTCACCCAACATTTAGTTCACCCTCTGACGCTCTCAAACATTAACTGCTGTCAGCGCAAACGTTATGATTTAAATTGCTTGATACTGTTTTTGATATAAAATAATTCAACGCTAAGTTCCAGGATTCTTATGCTTTTTTTGTAGGAAAAAAAAGGAATGTCTATGGAACTCAATATTTATTCCCCATTCCGAAAACTTTTTTGGATATTCATGTAACTTCACACTGCTTTTAAACACAACCATCTTACAAAAACGGGGCCGCGAAGAAATAATTACTTTAAGTATCTATTATCATCTGCTAACACTAGGAAGATACTTTTTAAGCGAATTTTGTAAGCAAATGTTATTCCAACAACTATGATATTAGTAGTAAGCATCCATCAGTCTCAGGAGACCATGGAGTTGCACTCTGGCTACGCTTCCATCAGTCTCAGGAGACCATGGAGTTGCACTCTGGCTACGCTTCCATCAGTCTCAGGAGACCATGGAGTTGCACTCTGGCTACGCTTCCATCAGTCTCAGGAGACCATGGAGTTGCACTCTGGCTACGCTTCCATCAGTCTCAGGAGACCATGGCACTCTGGCTACGCTTCCATCAGTCTCAGGAGACCATGGAGTTGCACTCTGGCTACGCTTCCATCAGTCTCAGGAGACCATCTGGAGTTGCACTCTGGCTACGCTTCCATCAGTCTCAGGAGACCATGGAGTTGCACTCTGGCTACGCTTCCATCAGTCTCAGGAGGCCATGGAGTTGCACTCTGGCTACGCTTCCATCAGTCTCAGGAGACCATGGAGTTGCACTCTGGCTACCAGCTTATTCAACATTTTAAAAATCTTTTCCCCCCCTGACACTCCGGCAATTACCTTTACTCAACATTCAGCGTTGTCCCTCTCGCGTTAAACAACATTCATCCACTGTGCTTCGCCGAAATCCAGACATACTGTAAAAAAATATCTATCCAACTCTCTTGCATCTACAGTCATTTTATATCTAATGAAATCGTACAAAAGTATTATTGCGTAGAATTGCGATTATTACGTAGAATTATTTTATATGTCTCGTGGCATATAAACACCTTTGTATTTGATTTTTGTTAATTCTGGCTCCAATAACCATTGCTTTCAGTATATTTATATAAACTAAGTATTAAACTAGATATACACATCGTTAACACCTCAGAACTCACTGTTACACACAGAGATCACACTAACGTGATGCATCATATGAACAAATCCACAAGGGCCGTGACGAGGATTCGAACCTGCGTCCGGGAGCATCCCAGATACTGCCTTAATCGACTGAGCTACGACAGGGTTAAAAAGAGTTGAAACCGAAGTTCTATTGAACTTATTGGATCCCGTAGCCTCTCCGAGGCACAAACCAGGATTTTACACAACTCCCCCCTGCACCCGAGCTATGTCAATAGGCCGTTCTCCCTCTTCGCCCTTACATCATTACGTCGCTCCCGGACGCAGGTTCGACTCCTCGTCACGGCCCTTGTGGATTTGTTCAACTCACTGTCTTCGAGTTATCATCTATAAAGCACAATCTAAGTATATTACACTTTGTATCTGTAAAGTCAATGATTATGACCCTTAAATACTTCAGAGCAACAAAATCCAAATTGTAAAATGTGTATATAATACCATTTGTCTTGCCTTATACATTCTGGTTTGAGAGAAAAATTGTTCATCACTTGTATTATAAGAACAATATAACATATGCAGTGACATTTCTGGTTTTAATATGTTATTTTTGAAGTTCAATTTGCTTATTTTCGAATGTCAACTGAAAGGTTACCCCAAGGACTTACGGAATAATTTTGTTTGAGCGCGACAAAGTTTACTGAACTTGCGACAAAGTTTACTGAACTTGTGGCAAAGTTATTGAGGCGATAAGTCCACCAAATAGAATATTTTTAGGCACCATTCGTTTGTTAAATTCCTTACTGATCGTCTCCTGTTTTGAAAAACAGTAAACTATCTGTATCTATAAGAGGAAATGTCTGTCACTCTGTATATCAGTTTAAGGCTGCAAGCCTTAGATGTTTGGGGCTAGCCTCACCCAACTTTGCAAGATGATATGGTCTGCGGTATGGGATGGACATAAGCTGGCCAGGGTCAGCCTAAGTTAAATGTTTAAAGAAATGTTTGAGTTTATAGAGGGTAATTATGAGAAGACTTGTGAATCCTAAATTGTGGTTTGCTAAACATTTCGACATTAATTTTTTTTTTTTACTTCAACCAATGATTGACATTCGAAAGCTCTTTTATTTAGTCATAACGAAGTTACTTGTTCTTTCTTTGCTGAAAATAGTTTTATTCTGAGGAAATTCATTTCATGATTGAGTACAGTAAATACAAAATATAGCGGGTTTGCAGATGTGAAAAAACATCAAATCTTATATGAACGTGCTGTAATCTTGCTCTCGGGCTGTAATATATATATATATATATATATATATATATATATATATATATATATATATATATATATATATATATATATATATATATATATATATATATGCGGAAAATCCACAGAGAAATATGAAATGAGGTGAACGTTTCGGCTTGTTAAAGCCTTTGTCAACACCAGACTGACTCAAAGGCTAAAGGCTTTAACAAGCTGAAACGTTCACCTCATTTCATATTTCTCTGTGGATTTTCCGCATAAAATGATCAGTGTTTTGTGATCGTCAATTGCATATTATATATATATATATATATATATATATATATATATATATATATATATATATATATATATATATATATATATATATATATGTCGTACCTAGTAGCCAGAACTCACTTCTCAGCCTATATTCAAGGCAGTGGTTTTTATATCTCAGCTCTAAGTCAATCCTCATATCTCAGCTCCTTAGCGATTCTCATATATCAGATCTTAGTGTGTTCTCATCTTAGGTATAAGAACTTACACCTGAGATGAGATAAGAACTTATAAATAAAATAAAAACTTATTTTATTTACAAGTTCTTAGTTACCTTTATTGCCCAAGTTTGTGTCTGTCAACAAATCCCAGCAATTTGTTGTCTTACTCATCCCATGTGGTGAGTAGCCCTCCTTCCTGGCTGAGCTGAGTAATCACCTCACATTGCTTAATGAGTAATGTGATGTAATTATACATTGTTCATTTCCTTAGTGTTGTGTCGTCCGTTTAAGCGTTCCTTTCGTGCTGTTTATTCTCAACTTCTGTTTTCGATTTTCCTATTTATATCTTTGGTTTTACGTTTTTAATGGTGTTATTATTATGTCCATTTCGCTCTTAACATAGTGCTTCTATGGCTGTTTCGTCCGTATTCAACTTTCTGCGGTCTCTATTTATTAATTAATTATATATATTTAAAAAGGTACATTCGGGTTTAAGATTGTATATAGCATTGATGATTTTACATTCTTACAAAGCCACTAACACGCAATGCGTTTCGGGCAGAAACGCTATGCGTTCTAGCTTTTCGGTTTTAGATATTCGGTTTTTGTCTAGTTGTTCTTCTCTATTCTCGGGTCGCTGGGTTCCCATTGTTGTCTATACGTGTGTCTGTCATGTGTTCAACGTGTTTTCTTGAGGTTCCCCTTGCCCGCGTTTTCTTTTACCATTTTCTCTTATCCCAGACAGCCTGCTGGCGATCTTCAGTTCCCGATGACTCTTCCATGTTGGGTTTCTCGATTCCTGTCCTTTACTTTTGATAATTTTCCCGTCCAATAATATTCAATGGTTCTTCTCTGTCCCTGTTGCGACCGATCTCTCTTAGACCTGCGCTCATGGCATTCTTTGGGTTGACATGCCGTGGACTCAACACTTGGTGCTCCATTCGGCCGGTTTTCTTCAGTTACCCATATATTATTATAGTTTTCTTTGGCATGGTTTTCTCTTCTGCCTTCTAGTTTCAGGGCTATCTTGTCCATCTTCATTTCTCATATTATAGTCTTCTCATATCTCAGTCTTTGGGTTGTCCTTATATACCAGCTCTTCATTTGTTCTCATCCTTATTCTGTCATTAAGTCCATCATTAAATTTGCTCGCTATTGGTGGCTACACTTGCACTCTACCACTCACTCACTCTCCCAATCACTCACATTCCCAATCACTCACTTTCCTAATCACTTTCTTCCCCAATTACTCACTCGCACAATCGTTCTCGTTAGATATTCAACATTTTTTTTACCCTCAGATAACACACACAAATTGAGTGCCCAAATGAGCCATCGAGACGTTAGAAAGAATTTTTTCAGTGTCAAAGTAGTACACAAATGGAATGAATGCATTAAGCAGTGATGTGGTGGAGGCTGACTCCATACACAGCTTCAAGTGTAGATATGATAGAGTCCAGTAGGCTCAGGAACTTGTACATTAGTTGATTGACAGTTGAGAGGCGGGACCATAGAGCTACAATTCAACCCCCCACAAGCACAATTAGGTAGGCAAATGTACACACACACACACACACACACACACACACACACACACACACACACACACACACACACACACACACACACACACACACACACACACGTGTTAACTCAATAATTCTTAATCAAACATTCACACTCATTCTCATATTCCCCCTCTCTCATAATCACTCAATAACATATTCACTCACTCTCGATTTTAATTAATCTCACATACACACTAATACTCTCAAACGCTTGTAATGTCACTCTCTCTTACACACACACACACACACACACACACACACACACACACACACACACACACACACACACACACACACACACTCACTGACTGAAGCTTAGACATTAAGTATTTGCCCAAATGTAATGTTTCGGAAATCGCAGTAGTGAGTGTTCATCAATAGAAATAGAATGAAGAATATGATTTTATTTCTCATTTTTCAATTATGTTTTACTCAACTTCAAATGAAGCAATTCATCATTCCACCAAATTAATTTAAATTATGCAAATTATTAACTCCAGTTTAACGTTTTTTCAGAATAAATTTAACTGAAGTGTCTGGTGTAGAGTTAGTTGATATCTCTTACAAGCAGAGTCTCTGTGCTCGGTGAGTTGGTCTGAGCACACAGGTGGACTGTAGACATCAATTACACAGCCCAGTGTAATTCAGAGAAGGTGTACCAGGACACAGCGAAGCCGCTACACCCGCTTCATACACAGGGCTGCCGAGGAAGTTGCCTGCAGGCCCATAGTTACACACGTAGGTTTTACTTTGGGTGAAGGTGTAGCCCCAGCGGGTGTCGGTGTAGTACACAGCTCCACACCCAATCTCATACGTGGTACCCCATACCACCTGTGTGTGTGATATGTTTGAGTAATAAATCAGCAGACTACATAGGTAGAATGTATATATATTTTGTATATGAGACATTGTGGGGGGGTTTTCTGTCATGTTTTAAGCTGAGAGTTGGTTCGAATGGGAATGAAACTGATGTTCTCTTTGAAACTAAAAAGCTTGAATCTGTTATCCTAAACTAGCTCATATGAAGCATGATTCACGAAGCTGATATGTTTATTCAGCTTAATATTTATTGGCAACAAACTTCTTTTAATGATGTTTCAATATACAACTTTCTCTCTCTCTCTCTCTCTCTCTCTCTCTCTCTCTCTCTCTCTCTCTCTCTCTCTCTCTCTCTCTCTCTCTCTCTCTCTCTCTCTCTCTCGCCCTCTCCGCCCGTTCCCTCACTCACCTGTGTATAGTGTCCTATGGCTTTGCCAGATGGTACTCTGGAGCTGAATGCTGCAACATTGGTATTGGGCATATATTGCACTTCATTATACCAGGCCTGTACCGCTTTCTCCCACACCTGAGGGTATAACAGTACAGAGCATCAGGGCCTACTGGCTGTCGTGAAGTCTCCATACCTACTGATGTTCGTCTTATTAATATACCGCTTGCAATGCAATTTCCTAAGCAATTTAATCTACCTTTTGTGGTGGTTTCTAGATGATATATTCACTGCTAGGTAGTTTCTGAGTCATAAGTTATTTACCTTTGTAGGCAATAGGTACTTCTAGGTGCTAGGATTCCTCCAAAAGGCGTTCATGTAATTTTTTTTGACAGTGAAAGGTTTTTGTCTTTATGTAATGCACTCTATGATTCAAAATACTATGTGTCCTCCCAGCTAAAAAAGCTTCGCTTTCGAATTGCGCTTTTAAATAATAAACACCCAAAGCAACTCTAAATATTCTTTCAATGCGATCTTCTAGATGGCGTGCTAATTCATCTAAGACTCATCCGTGCTATAGGACTAACTGTCGAGACTCAAGGAGTCTCAGGTTCCTTGTCGAGTTCACGAGTTCAAATAATCATTCCGCAAAATTGTTACTTACTGATGCTGGATTCGTGCTCCACTGAAAGTATATGTTCTGACCGACGAAATAGCTTCTGGAACAGATTCTTCTTTGGTTGTAAGTATCGTGGCCCGTCGGGCACTGGCTAGCCCACGCCTGGCGAAGGAACGACAGGCGGAAAGGTGTTATAGGGATTTAGAGGTGAAATAACCCCACACACACCTGAGCCACTGCTCACGTAATATCACATACATGAGCCGTCTCTAAGACCACATATTTGTGCATCAAACTCAACATTAATCCAATTACAGCAGCTGCATTAGATGCAAATTCCACAGCGACAACAATGATTAGAAAAGCAGTTGAAGAATGGGACACACTAATGAACATTCTGCATATCAGCCACCAAGATAATGTAATTAAAACAAGACTTAAACCAGTGTGCTAAAACAGAAGCCAAAAAGAAACAGGGAAAAATGAAGAAACCCCACCTCCATTTAAGACTTTCACCCAAATATCACAGTAAGAAAGTTATCGCGATTAACCGAACATAATTACGGGCTTACTATAGCCCGTGCTACATGGACATTTTGTTCTGAGTAGCTAAATCTAAAACAACAATAAGAACCACATACCTGTGCCACCTGGGCCAGCTCATCGTTCCACACCACCTCCCTAATGTTGGCGCCTGAAGGCTGAGGACCTGCATCACCAAGGACTTCCTCCCCTCTCGCGACCTGCAGTAGAATAATGAATAACTCGGTGAATTGTTGCTCTTGGCTCTGGTCAGCAGAGGAGCCCATGAGGAACTGCATTCCCATGTCTGAGGTAGAAGTCTTCTGTCTGTCTCTCTGTCTCTCTCTCTGTCTATCCCCCCTCCTTTCTCTCTCTCTCTCTCTCTCTCTCTTTCTCTCTCCCCACCAACTGTGGAAGGCCCTTGGAAGGCCCTTCTTCTGCAGTTCTCATTATTACTACTATCCCCTACACCTTACTTTCCTCCTCAGCTCTCTCTTGCCTATTTATTGCCTGTCTCTACCTCCTCATCACAATCGACTTGAGAATGGTCCAGGACGGACCGAAACGTCGTCGTCCCTTCAACTTCTAGTGTGTGGTCTGGTCAACGCCCTTGGAAGATATTAAAACCTAGTTGAGTGGTAAATGTCACTTCTCGCTGCGTCCCTACTGTGGTTAATGATGGAAAGTTGGCTGAGTTTGTGACTGATATAAAGTAGGTCAGATAATCGCCTCTCTTGGTCTTCAATCGCTTATATGTAGTCGTTGGCAGTGTACTGCAATGGGCTTCAACCCAGGCGATCTAGATTTCGCCATTATATATGATAATATATTGTGATTATTGATATATTTAGCAAATGGTGATTATCTTAAACAAGAAACTAAGACAATAAAGTAGGAGAGGAGGAAGATCCATAATTAGAAAAGAGCAGGAAGAGAAGGGAACTATCAGGGGGAAAGGGGCCAAGCCATAACGACTATAAAGAGCAGGAAGAGGATCGAAATACACTTTATAAACTTTAAGAGGAGGCCAACCTTAGCCCTGAAGTTATTGTGGGCCGTGAGAATCTGGACCTGCTCGTCGGCCGTGACCCCAGTCCTACTGACCAAGCACGCCAGGTTGGGCTGGAGAGTCATGGTGTGATCCTCAGCGAACTGCGAGTAATCACACGACCTTGCCTGTCGCCCACCACTCGTGAACGATGAGCCAGGGACTGGGTCGTCTTTGGCTGACGTGAGAGGCGCCAAGAACTGGGTGGCTGGAAGCACTTGGTCCAAAACTTCGCCATCATTTGCCGGGTTCGGTTCCACTCCTGAAAGAGATTAACGACAACGATGATATACTATGTATCTTCTATTCACCTTGGCTGTATGGGACGTGTACTCACTCACCTAGTTGTGATTGCAGTGGTTGAGCTTTAGCTATTTGGGCCCGCCTCAACGTGTGGATGACAATTCATACAAACTACATTTACAATGTCACATAACTACTTGTGTAAATAAATATCATTATTATGGCTGTATAATCATACTGATTTAGGACTCTACTGATAATTACAGTATTATTAAAAATAATATTTGTAATATTATTATTAATATTATTATTGCTATTACTGAATAGGAAGAAAAGACCCAATACATGTTTAAGCGTATTTTTAGCATATTTTTTAATGAAACCTTCGTCCTTTATCAAGGTGGTTTTAAGCACTGTTCTGACCAACGATTCTGAATGTTTGCATGTCCGGTCGACCGCCTCATTTAGCGTCCAACATGAGATAATGTTATGATGATGATTGGCCGGAGATTCACCAAATCATGTCGGAACTTCTGATGAGTTGTCAAATGTCCTGTTGTTGTGGGGGAAACTTTGGGTAAGTTATCCTTGTATAAGTTAGGTAAGGTATCCTTGTCTCCACTTTAAGCATCACAACGTCTGTTCTTATATGAATTAAACTAGTTAATTTAGCTTCATTAAAAAAATCGGTTTAATTGGATCCACTTTACTGAAAGATTTCTTGTTCTTTGCTCTCTCAATGCAATCTTTAATTACTTCTTCTACTAGGGGTATATTTTTCTGATATTTGAGCAGTTATATACAATTATACTGTTATTAAAATCCATCCTATGAATGAAATCAAAATAGTGATTAGCGATGGCGTTATTCCTATACAAATTTGTTACTGCTCATTTTTTGTTATCCTATTCATCATTTCCTTTTCAATAACCCCCGATCAGACTCTCCAAACATGTGATCAATTGCAGTAGTTGCAATTAATAACATAAATCCCATTACTTACATTGTTCTTATTAGTACCATTGTCAACGTTACCACTGATAACTCTAATCTTCCTCCCCCCCCTTACCATTTCCATGATTACCTTCACTAACACCACTTCTGCTGTTATCATTGTTATTACCAACAATAACGTTATTAACAATGCCGTCATTCTTATCATCATTATCACAATGCTTCTCGTTATCATTATTGACATTATGGAGTTTGTTATGGTGTAGTTTTCTCCTAATCGTGTTTTGATATTCAAAAACAAACTTGTAAACTTGTAATTACCTGTTATGCTAGTAAAGCTTTGTAAGTAATTACTTTAAAGTAATTACTTGCATAATAAAGTAATTAATTCAAGTCGAGAACGGTCCAGGACGGACCGAAACGTCGTCGTCCCTTCACCATCTAGTGTGTGGTCTGGTCAACATTCTTCAGTCACGTTATTGTGTCTCATCGCCTGCACAAGGTTAGTATATATATTGCTCAAGATGCCGAAAGTGAAAGCAAAATGGCATATAATTAGCTTAATAATGTCCGATACACTAAGGAGGGTTTCTAATGCAATCTTATTTATCAGGATTCTTTAGGAGGCATCATTTATGTTCATCTTGGAAATTTTGGACATTTGAGGAGACGTGTGGCTGTAGCTGGAACAAGACACTTGGTATACCGGCGTTTCCTAATCAGTAAGACACTCGCCTGGCGTTCCGCGAGCGCTTTGTCATGGGTTCGTATCCTGGCCGGGGAGGATTTACTGGGCGCAAATCCTTAACTGTAGCCTCTACTTAACGCAACAGTAAAATGTGTACTTGGTTGTAACAACGATTCTTCGCGGCGGGGAACGTGTTCCAGGGACCTGCCCGAAAAGCTTCGCTTACTAGTGGCTGTACAAGAATGTAACAACTCTTGTATATATCTAAAAAAAAAAGTAAATAACAATGAATCAACCTGATATTGGTAATTCGCAATCAAGCTAAGCAAGTCTCCCATCAACATTTATACACATTTTTACCCGTAGAATGCTATAGGAAGTGATCGTATTACAGAGTACTTGGTTTATGACCGAGTCTTGCTGTCCGTTTTCTATTGTTTACATTTGTAAACATTGTATTTTGTAGACTATTTGTATTTTTGTTGGATAGAAACTGGCAATGTGAGGACATTTTAAGCGGGTACTTATTGAAATGACGTTTGCGTCATTTCAATAAAATCTATTGCTATGTAAAATATTTTATTGCTATAAAATATTCAATAAAATATTGCTATGTATGTACTTCTACAATCCGACGTACCTTCTTCAATATAAAGAAATAATATATAAAGATATACCTAGGTGCCCATAAATCCATTAATACAAATCTAATAGTATAATAGCAATAGTCGTATACACCCAAAAACTATTGAAGAGTATGTTGAATAAATAGTAGTAAATATACTAGGTGTTAAATAAAAAATAATACAAACCCCAACTCAATTTTGTTTAATTATTAATTTTAAAATATTATCAAACCACCTTTTTATCCACTCCAAAAAAGTTTATATCCGTTGCGAATAAATTTGCAGATGCTGTTTTTCGTAAACTAATGAGATGAGCTACGAAACCCTACATAAACAGCTGTTAGAAGTGAGTAGCAAACAGCAGTCAGCTGTGTTTACCATGGAGGCAAACACAGCTGACTACTCAATGGGAGGACGTATACAAATCTACAGCAGTGACGTCACGAATGTCAACACAGAGGACTACACCTTGAGTGTGTATATGAATATATGTCAACAACGATGGCGTGGCAGAGCTGCTAGACACGTGTTCATATGGTGGAGTAAAGGAAGGTCAGCCTCACTGAAATATGTAGACCAACACCTGCAGTGTAAATGTAAATTATTTATAGACCAATATTGACTAATTATGGGCAGGTGGTGAATACCTTTTCAAACCAGGTTTCTTATAATGCTGTTGCCATAAATTTATGTGTAATATATTGCCAAAAATCCACGTTCATGATCTAAATATATAGAGACTGATATGCTCAGACTCATTTTTTACTTACTCACATTTTTACGGGCTCACTATTGCCCGTGCTACTTGGAAATTTTGTTCCGAACAGCTAAACTTAACAGCATTACATACACTCATTCACTCATATACTTACACTCAATAACTGACTCACATACACTCACTGACCCACACTTACTCACAGACACACTCATTCATTCACAGAAGTATAATACAAAAGAGGAGTAGAAGAAGGAAGAAGAAGTGGAGAAAAACAAGTAAAAGACAGATATTGAGGTACAGAATAAACATGGTCAATAGGAACATGTGAAGAGCGATAAAGAGGAGGATTAAGGAGAACAGGATAACGAGAACGATTAAGAAGGACAGGATGAAAGGGGAACAGAATGATGCAGGCGATGAGTCACAATAACGTGGCTAAAATATGTTGACCAGACCACACACTAGAAGGTGAAGGGACGACGACGTTTCGGTGCGTCCTGGACGCTTCTCAAGTCGATTGTGAATGGGCCAGGACGGACCGAAACGTCGTCGTCCCTTCACCCTCTAGTGTGTGGTCTGGTCAACTTACTTTAACCCCGTTATTGTGACTCATCGTCCGCACAGGGTGAAAGACAATGTACCGGAACATGATAAGCTGAATCACCAGCAGGAGAAGTAGAAACAAGCACAGAAAACGGAAAGCTATGCCTCCTCGGAGGAGGAACTATGATAAGTTCCTCGGAGGAGGAAACAGGTCAACTTACCCTTGAGAAGGAAGACGAAGAGCAGACGAGCGAAGGTGCCGTGAGCCATGTTGTCACGACGAGCGAAGGGCAGGAAGTGGGTCTCCAGCACTCAGCCACTTATAACCCCTCTCACACCCGCCCAATCGCTTCCCCCCCTATCGCTTCCCATCCCCCCCATCCTCCACCCCAATCACCACAACCACCCCCACACCACCTGGGATAACTCGAAGTAACTGGGTAAACATTGGATAGGAATGGGAGTACCTGAAGGGCAGTAAACAGAGTGCCACAGAGTTCACAGAGTGCGACAGAAGGGAAGTAAACAGAGTACCATAGAATTCAGGGGCTGGGGATGAGTGTATTTTCTCTGAGATATATACAAGAGTTGTTACATTCTTGTACAGCCACTAGTACGCGTAGCGTTTCGGGCAGGTCCCTGGAATACGATCCCCTGCCGCGAAGAATCGTTGTTACAACCAAGTACACATTTTACTGTTGAGTTAAACAGAGGCTACAGTTAAGGATTTGCGCCCAGTAAATCCTCCCCGGCCAGGATACGAACCCATGACATAGCGCTCGCGGAACGCCAGGCGAGTGTCTTACCACTACACCACGGAGACTGTGTATAGTTCAAGTGGGGTTCCCAACGCTTAGTCCTGGGCCCACTGCTGTTCCGAACTTACGTAAATGTTTTACAGACAGGCCATGTTTACTTGTAAAAATGTCCAGTGTTTACAAGCATTGCAAATCAAATAATAAATTAAAAAATCGAAGACTGAAGAGTCTTTTTTTAGATAGAGTTTGAATCTTTAGTGAAATGTTTCATGCCACATGATAACGGTGAGGTGATAAGTGTCATATGACACTGGTGATATCGTCAGTATCACATGACACTGGTGATATCGACAGTATCATTCGACACTGGTAAGGTGATAATTGTCAGATGACACTGGTTAAATGCTCAGTGCAACATGACACTAGTAAAGGGCTCAGTGTCATTACACTCGTGAGGTGCTTAGTGCCACATGCCACCTGGTGAAGCTGTGTCACACATCATGAAATATAATGATTTGTATATCATGAAGCATATTTTCTATTAGCATATCATCTAGTGGATGATGAAATACTGCTCCTTCATTAGCAGTTATCTACAGGAATCTCTGAACCTACACACACAAAGTTAACAGACAATTTTTATTTCACATAAAAATACACCGATGAAATTCTCCAATAAATGTCAAGAATCAGCTTAGTATTCTGATCTTCACAACATTATTGCAAAAAAAACTCACTGTATCTCTCTCGTATCACATAGAACAGTTCTTGTTAGTGCCAAAGAGCGTATTATATTGTTGATGTAACTGCGTGTGAAGGAAGGTTGTCAGGGTATTAACGACGTCGTTCATGGAGGGGTCCAAGGTGAGTGCCTTGATGCCTGGTAGGTGTACCAGGAAGGCGTTGTTCAGCACCTGGAACTTTTAGTTGTTCAGGAACAAGATGTACACCTGGTAGTGTGAGGAAGAGGAGAGGGGAGAAGGTTAAATACATCAGAAAGTTTTGAAGTATATTTTGGCTTTAATGAATTATTATCGTTGTATACATTTATACATTGACGTTACCTTAGAGCACACAAACTCTCTCTATTACAAATATATATATATATATATATATATATATATATATATATATATATATATATATATATATATATATATATATATATATATATATATATATATATATATGTAATATAGTGCCACATGCCACCTGGGATAACTGGGATATATATATATATATATATATATATATATATATATATATATATATATATATATATGTCGTACCTAATAGCCAGAACGCACTTCTCAGCCTACTATGCAAGGCCCGATTTGCCTAATAAGCCAAGTTTTCATGAATTAATGGTTTTTAGATACCTAACCTACCTAACCTAACCTAACCTACCTTTTTCGGCAACCTAACCCAACCTAACCTATGAAGATAGGTTAGGTTAGGTTAGGTAGGGTTGGTTAGGTTCGGTCATATATCTACGTTAATTTAACTACAATAAAAAAAATTTACCTCATACATAATGAAATGGGTAGCTTATCATTTCATAAGAATAAAATTAGAAAAAAATATATTAATTCAGGAAAACTTGGCTTATTAGGCAAATCGGGCCTTGAATAGTAGGCCAAAAAGTGAGTTCTGGCTACTAAGTACGACATATATATATATATATATATATATATATATATATATATGTCGTACCTAGTAGCCAGAATGCACTTCTCAGCCTACTATACAAGGCCCGATTTGCCTAATAAGCCAAGTTTTCCTGAATATTATATTTTCTCTACTTTTTTTCTTATGAAATGATAAAGCTACTATTTCATTGTGTATGAGGTCACTTTTTTTATTGGAGTTAAAATTAACGTAGATATATGACCGAACCTAACCAACCCTACCTAACCTAACCTAACCTATCTTTATAGGTTAGGTTTGGTTAGGTAGTCGAAAAAGTTAGGTTAGGTTAGGTTAGGTAGGTTAGGTAGTCGAAAAAAATGGGTATTAATTCATGAAAACTTGGCTTATTAGGCAAATCGGGCCTTGCATAGTAGGTTGAGAAGTGCGTTCTGGCTACTAGGTACGACATATATATATATATATATATATATATATATATATATATATATATATATATAATCAGTTTTACCAGAAGCCACAGTCATTAAACCCACCGACAGCACACTACTTGGAGCACCTCTGGTCCACAATGCCATTGCTGCAGTCATTGACGAAAAGTTTAGCGACCTAAAGAGGATGGAAGCGAGAATAGAGGACTTGGACTCCCACGATGCCCTCTACCTTCTCACAAAGTGCCTTACCTTGCCCAGGCTAACATACTTCTTAAGGTGTGCACCAACTTTTGGCAACCCACTTCTACATCAATATGATGAGCTCCTCAGGTCAATATTCAGGAAGACGCTCAACCTAGATTTAGGTGACAGTCAGTGGGACCAAGCAACACTACCAGTGAGATTTGGAGGGATAGGCATACGAAAGGCAACTGAGGTAGCACTTCCAGCATTCTTATCCTCATGTACAGCAGCCAACGAATTGGTAGGGCAGATCCTACCAGAGCGTATGAGAGAGACAGCGGGCACTCATGATCAAACGTTCATCGAAGCAGCCAGACAATGGGACACCATTGCACACCCTCAACCCCGACCACAAGTCCCAAAAGACCACAAGCAGGCCCACTGGGATAGCCCCATAATGGAAAAGACTGTCACAGCAATGATTCACAACGCTGATGCTGAAAACAAAGCCCGCCTCCTAGCGGTAACAGCACCCCACGCCGGGGATTTTTTATTTGCTGTGCCCAATGCAGCCCTGGGAACTCGCCTCAGTCATGACGCTCTCCGCATTGGAGTTGCCCTTCGCCTTGCCGCCCCCATCCTCACCGAACATATGTGCATCTGCGGAACTGTGATGGCAGACCAATATGGTCGTCATGGTCTGGTATGTCGTAAATCACAAGGTAAGATTACAAGACATGAAGAAGTCAACGACATCATCAAGAGGAGCCTCGCCACAGCCCGCTGCCCGGCACAAAGAGAACCACACTTATCCAGACCTAACGACCCTCAGAAGCGCCCAGATGGGGTCACCTTGCTACCTTGGAAGGATGGTAAGCAAGTGGTGTGGGACTACACGTGCGCTGCCACACTGGCCAGTACCTACTTCCACTACAGCACACGTGAAAGCGGTGGTGCTGCTTCTTTCAGGGAATCGCAGAAAATTATTAAATACAGAGGTCTGGCACACTGCTACAGCTTTGTTCCGATCGGCTCGGAGACCCTCGGTTCGTGGGGAAAATGTGCATTGAAGTTCCTGAAGGAATTGGGGGTCAAATTGATCAGCGCTACAAAAGACCAGGGAGCAAAAAGTTTCTTGTTCCAGCGCCTCAGTGTTGCGATCCAGAGGGGAAATGCCTGTTGCGTCTTGGGCACTAGTCCAACTTCAGAGGAATTCGAAGAAGTGTTTGACTTGCAACAATGATCGAACCCGTCTGTGACATTCATCAATATTTCCCATTGTCGTGTTTTTCAATAGATCCATAACCTTTAAGCACCTTTTTGTAATATTTTTGTATCAACCCATGTATATCTTGTAACCATCAAATACATAATAAAGCACAAAAAAGAGGAAGGGGGTGGTAGGAGAAAAGCACACAGAAACTGTATTGGAGGGGACCTAAACATTCCCTCTAATGCGTTATGCGTGGTTTCCTCCGAGGCTATGGGTCCCCCTTCTTCCAGCCAGAGGTGGTACTCCCTTCCATTTTTATTTTTATATATATATATATATATATATATATATATATATATATATATATATATATATATATATATATATATATATATATATATATATATATATATATATATATATATATTACCTAATAGCCAGAACGTACTGCTTGGTCTACTATGCATGGCCTGATTTGCCTAATGAGCCGAGTTTTACTAAAGTTATGTATTTTTCTAAAAAAAACATCCTATTACCTCATAAAGCTTTCCATTACATTATATATGATCGAATTTTCTTTAATTTGAGTTAAAACTAACGTAGACATATGACTAAACCTAACCAAACCTACAAAACCTAACTTATCTTAATATATATGGATAGTTTTCTTATATTACGAGTAGCTAAAGAAGCGGCCCACAAGAGTTTGTATGCAAGGTAATACTTCTGGAGTGAGTCAATAACTCACTAATAGTTTTCTACACGTGTTCAAGTGAGCGGAAACGTGACAGTCTTGTAAATGCCTTTTCTTCCGTAAACAAACTTTGGAAGCTTGGCCTAGATAAATGGCAGCTAATCATTTTGAATGATGTACTTGCACATTTCTCGAACACGATTGGCAGAGTTATCTCTGAATTCTGCATATTTTTCACATTCGAGTACATGCTGACGCAACGTATGTGAATAATTCTTCTAATAGAGTTTATATTTAGTTATAATCAGCAGGTGATGAAAACTCCCAGAGGAACTGATAGCCAAGCAGAAGCTTTGCAATATTGACAGCTAGAAGTCAACCTCCCTTAGTGGATCTAT